TTGGCCTCCCATCTACCTTGCCCATACAACATTTAACTTGGCAACATTGGAAAATATTCACTCTACCGTTGTAGAAACATTCTACAACTAGCGGCCTCCTGAGTTGGTAAAGGTACACCACAATCACCAGCAGAGCCTCAAGGACTGTACAGTAGGACCAGTTCAGTGCCAGAGCCCAGATAATAACATGCACCAGTGGTGCTACCTCACTGGTTGAAATGATTCACAATGAAGGATCTTAAGTCTCCATTCCCTGCAGAACAAGATTAAACAAAAAGATGAAATAGGAAGTAGGGAGACAGACAATCAAGAGCCAGGGGCCAACAGGGTATAGATTCTGGTCTAGAGGAACTTGTTCTTTTCCTTGCCATTCAGCAAGCTACTGTTTGCAATGGAGGTTATTTTTCATAAGTTTCTATGCTGCTGAAGGTCACAGATGGCATCTTCCTTAGTTTAACGATGTGCACATATTGTTAGTCAGATAACTGGCCAGTTTCCAGGTTTTCAACTTCATGGTTCAACCCCAGTACATCACAACTTTCAACTTTCCTTCATACAATAAAGAACCCCCAGGTTCAAATTTTCTTCAACGTCTTTACCTGGAGTTTACCTGGAGAGAGTTCCGGGGGTCAACGCTCCCGCAGCCCGGTCTGTGACCAGGCCTCCTGGTGGATCAGTGCCTGATCAACCAGGCTGTTACTGCTGGCTGCATGCAATCCAACGTACGAGCCAACGTACGTAATGTTTTAGGGACCATTTTTACAGAAGTCATGATGGGCCCACCTTGCACTGCTCTTTAACAAATTATTATTCTGTCAGTGTTCATCAATACCTTAGTCCTTAACACTGTATTTATTGGCGTTCTGTGACATTAGGATATCAACATTTCTGTTATGATACCCATCAGCGAGGAGCCTTCATTCCTCTATTCCTCTGTTATTAGCCCTTTGACTGCTTTGGTCATATATATACGTTTTACGAGCCAGTGTTTTTTGATGTATTTATATTACAAAATTCTGGCAGCTTCAAATCAAGTGGGAGAAAGCTGGTAGGTCCACATGTGAGAGAATGGGTCTGTGTGGTCAATGTGCACAGTATAAAATAAAATCCTGCAGCACACAGTGCACAATGAGGAAAAAAAAAACTAACCTTGTTTTTGGATTACAACGCAGACTTTGAGGTGAATTTTTGTATAGTATTTATGGTTGTATTCTCGTTTTCTTGGTCTCATTTGATAGAATGGAAGACATATTACAGAAATAGAGATGATTTTGATTGGTTTCACAATGAAGAGGACCTTGAAATTGAGCTCAAATTAGCGGAAATGTTCGATTTTGCAGATGTTCAAGAGTAAACAAATGACGCCATTGTCCAATAAGTGTCCAACTAGCCATTCTAATACACAGTCACGAATGGGTCGACATTATTTATACAATTATTACAATAATGCAGTAGTCTGCATAACAGTAAATCTTCTATTTTTTGTGTGAATACAAATTCAAAACAGAAAGCAGGAGTAATACAAGAGGGGCCTGGACACGTGACTGATGAACAGAGAAAATGTTATTTTAGTGCCAGGAATGTCTGCATTGTTCATTTTGGACCCTATTTTGAAATTGCCATCTTTTTGAATTTGCATGAAATTGGCCAAACTGCCAATTTCTGGCCACTTTATTGGGTAGTTGAATTGGTAAATGGGCGGTTTCCTGTATTCAATCAACAAAACAAATGGAGTTCTATAGAAACAGCCGAGTTTGGTCGACTGGAACAATGGAATTGGCCGAAAATAGGGCTCAAAGTGGGTGAAATTGCCAATGCGTAAACATCCCCGAGACTGCTAACTTCACGAGAGCGTAACTCTAAATTTTACATCAAATTTTGTACTTTTGGTGTCATTAACATCAGGAAAAGATTCTCTATCATTTCATAGGAATTTTTTTTTTTTTTTTAAAATTTTGCGACAGACACACTTTAGGATTTGAGGTCGCAACAGTCAAAGGGTTATAGATGGCACTTTCAGTCTTGGCAGGCATCTTTCACTGAGTACCATACCACAACCTAATTCTCTGCATCTACCTAGCAATTTTGTTTTTCTAAATCATCCTGTTATGGGTTGAGATTTTTCCACTTCAGTGCTTGGCACAGTACTATATACAGTGGACCCCTGACATTCGATGGCATCGACATTCGATAAATCCGACATTCGATGCATTTTAACGGAAAAGCTTCGCCTCGACATTCGATACGATTCGTACGAGACATGTCCATGTGTGGCCTGAACTGCACCGTGTGTGTCAGTGTTTACAAGCCAGCCAGTGTGTGCGCATCAAAGGATACATTCAGTACATTCCATATTATCCATAATCACTGTTTTTGGTGCTTGTTTCTGCAAAATAAGTAACCATGGGCCCCAAGAAAGCTTCTAGTGCCAACCTTTCGAGAAAAAAGGTGCTAATGACTATTGAAATGAAGAAAGAGATAATTGCAAAGTACGAAAGTGAAGTGCGTGTGTCAGAGTGCATGATGATTTGGTAAAGAAATTGCCTGCAACTAGTGGTGATGCGAGTGAATTTAAGGCCAGCAAAGGTTGGTTTGAAAGATTTAAGAATCGTAGTGGCATACACAGTGTGGTAAGGCATGGTGAGGCTGCCAGTTTAAGTCCTAATGGAAGGGGATTCCCCTTCTAAACACTAACACCATCCACACACTCCCCTCCTCCCATCCCATCAATCATAACCAGATCTTCATTAAAGGTATGTGTCAATTATTCTATTATTAATCTATTGTTACTGTAATTTTTCTATTGCATTAAACTTAATATTTCATGTGGTAAAATTTTTTTTCATACTTTTGGGTGTCTTGCACGGATTAATTTGATTTCCATTATTTCTTATGGGGAAAATTAATTCGACTTTCGATATTTTCGACATTCGATGGCTTTCAGGAACGGATTAATATCGAATGTCGGGGGTCCACTGTAGTGCCTTCTCTATGAGTGTGGGCACTGATGGTAGAATTCCTAGAGTGGTTCATGGAATCTGAACCCAGAACATGTCTTAAAATTTTGAAGTATGAACAGCTACTTTCTGTGGAGTTCGATGACCTACGGCACCCACCACCTTTCCCTGTTGGCTGTTCCTCATCAGACTATCAAATGGTATGTTAGGACTGCACAGTCAGCAAGGAAATCGAGGTGCTCTAGGGCATGGGTGACAAAGTGACCTAAAAGTCTATTACTGACATTATAGAGATTATACAGACAAATTGCAATTCCTATAGTAGTTCATGGAATCATTCCCAGAAGATAGTTTTTTTTATAGTACACTTCAAAATATGAAAGATGAAGAGGGGATTCAGAACTAGCTTTTCATTTATATAAGTAAATAATATTCTGAATTTTCTTACTGTAGTTGCAGTTAATCACCGAATTTGATATGCACTACAGAATATCAAATATTTACAAAAACTACAGTACTCTTCAATTTACAAAACACATACCCGTACTATAATATAATAAATTGTGTTTCATGGATTGAAACACCATTGGAAAAGATAAGGCTAATTGAAAATAATCAATATTGTATTCATACAGAAGAATGCAAAAAAATATAATCAAAAAACCTGAAACCTCTTCATAATTTTTACACCACACATTGCTCTCAAACATGACATCTCCATTGTCTCCAGCATTTCTCTTGCTGCAGCACTTAAAACACATGCCTCATACTGCAGGCTCATTACCCCATATAACAGACAGGGCAATACATAATGTGTAGAGGTCTCCCTCAACATTCGCAAGGGTTAGGGGATCAAGAACCTCGCGAATGTTGAAAAATCACAAATGTTTGGTGCCCCAATATATTGTAGGGAAATATAATACAATACTGCTTCCTTAGCCTACTGAACCATGAACAATCATAAAACATATGAAAACATCACAAATATCGTACTAGTGCCAGCCCTTTGGTAAAGAAGGCGGCAAAAACTATAGAATTCAAGAAAGAACTCGTAGCAGAGTACCAAAGTGGAGGAGGAAGAGAGAGGGAAGATGTGCCTCCTTCATTGAATCAGTGTTTCTACGATATGTACGATACTAAAGCAGCACGAGTCGATAAAGGCTATAGCGCTAGCCAGGGATAAAGTGTAGCATTAACAGTGTAGCAAGTAAGTTAAGCAATTAATCTACAGAAAAAGGGCAGCAAGAACATAACTCCTCCAATGTTGTTGAAGTTATATAGGGCGACTGACAACACTGCCGTCTCTAGTCTCTACCACCATTATGGAAGGCTAATGTCTCAGTGGCCCTTATACACCCGACAACAACACAGCAACACTCGTGACATACGTAATGACATATTTTATTCATTCTAGAATATATGTCATGTTTCTATGTTATTAATATTGTTTATTATGTCATATTAGATGAATTGTGATAGATAAGTAAGCTGTAGAGTTGATATTAGTGTCATGCTGAAGGACTATCTTGTCCTATCTCCAAACAAACTCTGCCACCGCCAGAATTCCTAACATATGTAATGACATTTTAAATATGATTGGGCAGCTGGGAATTCGCGAATGTTTGAAGCTCGCGAAAATGGATAACACGAACGTTGAGGAAGACCTGTATGCAACAAATACAAAAATGACATACAAATACAGCCTCTCCTCACATAACAACAGAGTTCCGTTCTTAAGACCACATCGTTAAACGAATTCATCGCTAAGTGAGGAGCATTCTATAATGGTAGTGGGTTTGTGTCAATCATCTCTGATTTTGTTTTAATGTCACCCTTGCACCATTTATAGCATTTCTGTAATAAATGTAGTGTACTGTATATTGAAATAAACAGAACAGAGGAAATCAGCTCTAATATACTACATTATTTAGGTATAAATACTGGTCAGAAAGCCCGTCATAAGTCCGAGGCATCAGTAACTGAGGAGAGGCTGTAAATGGTATTAACAAGCACTAACAATTATGTCAGCTGAGTGTCACTAACCTACGGCCTGTGGATGTGGATGTTTGGGTCATTTCTTCGTCATCTGAAGAATTCATTTTCAAAACAACTCTCTCCTGGAATATTAATAATTCAGTTGAAAACTAATGTACAGTATCTACAAAAGGTAAGGTAATACTGTATATCAATCAATATATTTATCTCTATATCCCTATCTCTCACATAATGGCTGAAATCTGCATAGTAGTAAGTAATGCCTAAATTTATGTTCTACAACTAGTATAGTACACTATGTATTAGATAGTTTGAAAGGTTCAGAATTAGTGGCTCGAAATTCTTTGTACAATAAGTAGCTTTATTTTGAGCATACAAGATACTGAGTTCTGATAATTAATTGTAACCTGGAGAGGGTTTTGGGGGTCAACACCCCCATGGCCCGGTCTGTGACCAGGAATCATGGTGGATCAGGACCTGATCATGGTGGATCAGGACCTGATCAACCAGGCTGTTACTGTTGGCTGTACGCAACCCGACGTGAGAACCACAGCCCGGCTGGTCAGGTACTGATTTCAGGTGCCTGTCCAGCATTTTCTTAAAGACAGCCAGGGGTCTATTGGTAATTTCCCTTATGTATGCTGGGAGGCAGCTGAACAGTCTTGGGTCCCTGACATTTATTGCATTGTCTCTTATCATGCTAGTGACACCCCTGCTTTTCATTGGGGGGGATGTTGCATCGTCTGCTCAGTCTTTTGCTTTCATAGGGAGTGTTTTTCGTGTGCAAGTTTGGTACTAGTCCCTCTAAGAGTTTCCAATTGTATATAATCATGTATCTCCCGCCTGCATTCTAGGGAGTACAGGTTGAGGAACTTCAAGCGTTCTCTGTACATTTTCTAGGTCACCAATTTCACCTGCCTTGAAAAGTGCTGTTACTGTGCAGCAATATTCCAGCCTAGATAGAACAAGTGACCTGACAAACTGCAAACTCACCCATTGTAACTTCCATGCATCTTATAAAAGAAATACCGATTTTGAGCTTGAAATTACTTTTTTGCATTAAAACCTAAGTTTCAGGTGCACATTACTGGAAGGAGCACTGGAACAAACTCCCCAGTAGTTATAGAGGCTAAAACAGTGTGTAGTTTTAAAAATAGGTTAGATAAATACACAAGGGGGTGCAGATGGGTGCGAGTTGGACCTAACTACCCCACAGGGGTCGTACAAAAACATTTAGGACAACTAGTTCTAAGCCTCACACAAATTTTGGATGAATTACAATTGTCTTATGTGGAAACCTGTGTAAATTACCTAGGCTAACCTTAAAAAAATATTTATTTCCAAACAGTGACATTTTTATTTAGGGCAATAATGTCTGCCAGGCAAGTAGGCTTCCGTATACCATACGGAAGCCTACACACGAGTTGGCATTAATTTCTGAAGAGAGACACACTTATGTACAGTTCAGGACACTTATTATCTCTGTATTAGAACTGGAGAAGACACTCGTAGCGAAACGTTTCCTCTAATAAATGTCCTGAACTGTAAACAAGTCCCTTCCTTCCCCCGACATCAGGTCGGTATCACCACACTATTTTTCATTAATTTCCGAGCTTGATTTAAAACATCAAAGACACTGACATGTGCCACAGCACGACAGACACTCTGGCTACACTTTAAGACAAAATTCGCAGAGAACTGCCACCCAAATGACGGGAAAACTCACAAGAAACGAAACATAGCAGGAGGTAGAAGACCCCAAAATGTGAATTTAAACCCAGTCAGTTGTTTACAAGAGCGGCGGTGTTGCCACCTCTCGCCCTCACACTCAACTATTATTGTAATAATAATATTCTCTCTAAGTTAACCACTGGTTAGATGAACATGAAGAAAATAAATAAAAATTAATAAATACAAATATATGCGAAAAAAATTATGTAAAAATTAGAAGAAAGTATACTTTAGCTATGTTCAAGGTTGCATTCGATTATTAACCCGGAGGATTGTAACCCAGGATAATTTAAGCAATTTATTAATATTAATTATAATAATCATATAAAATAATAATAATAATAAATTATAAATAATAATAATAATAATAATAATAATAATATAATAATAATAATAATAATTATTTCTACAAGTACATGATACAACTAATACAGACCAATGGAAATAAGTCATTGTGCCTGTATTTTTTTTTTTTTTTGGGGGGGGGGGGGGTTATCCGAGGTAATTTACGTGTACTTGTGTCTAAATCAAATTACTTAATATATAGAAAGTCTCTGATTATGCAGAACATTTCGGGCAACTTAAGTTAATCTTGCCCCCAGGATGTGACCCACACCAGTCAACTAACACCCAGGTAGCGGCCCTGACTGCTAGGTGAACAAGGGCAGCGGTGTAAGGAAACACGCTCAACGTTTCACCTGTACCGGGATCGATCCCCGGCTCCTCATTGTGTGAGCTGAGGACGTTATCAACCAAGCCACTACTATTACGCTGGCAAGGGGGCTGACGCACTGTAATCATCGTCACCTCGTTAAAAAAGAAACAAAAATATTAAATAACAATAGATTCAAGACAGTCATCTAGTTTCCTCAGTATTAGTTATATCATGTACTTGTAGAAATAAAGATTATTATTATTTATTATTATTATTATTATTATTATTATCTTTCCAAGAAGACTGCCACTCAGGATTCCCATAGGATTATACAGCGCATGTAAGAGGGGGGGGGATGGAAGGTATTCAGGCTCAATTCAGAGAACCAGAGAACATAAGAACATAAGAACGAAGGAACACTGCAGAAGGCCTACTGGCCCATGCGAGGCAGGTCCAAGTCTCCTACCGGCTTAAGCCAATGCACCCAACCTAGTCAGGTCAGGTCACATTGACTTAAGGGAGGAATACGGCAACCGACCTGGTAGCACAAGCTATCAGGTCTAACTCACACCCACCCACATCCACTCATGTATTTATCCAACCTATTTTTAAAGCTACACAACGTTCTGGCCTCTATAACGGTACTTGGGAGTTTGTTCCACTCATCCACAACTCTATTACCAAACCAGTACTTTCCTATATCCTTCCTGAATCTGAATTTTTCCAACTTAAAACCATTGCTGCGAGTCCTGTCTAGGCTAGATATTTTCAGCACACTATTTACATCCCCTTTATTTATTCCTGTCTTCCATTTATACACCTCAATCATATCCCCCCTAATTCTACGTCTTTCTAGAGAGTGCAGTTTCAGGGCCCTTAGTCTATCCTCATAGGGAAGGTTTCTGATACATGGGATCAACTTTGTCATCCTCCTTTGTACATTTTCCAGAGAATTTATATCCATTCTGTAATACGGTGACCAAAACTGTGCAGCATAATCTAAATGAGGCCTAACCAAGGATGTATACCTGGAGTTTACCTGGAGAGAGTTCCGGGGGTCAACGCCCCCGCGGCCCGGTCTGAGACCAGGCCTCCTGGTGGATCAGAGCCTGATCAACCAGGCTGTTGCTGCTGGCTGCACGCAAACCAACATACGAGCCACAGCCCCGGGTGATCCGGGGAAATGACTTTAGGTGCTTGTCCAGTGCCAGCTTGAAGACTGCCAGGGGTCTGTTGGTAATCCCCCTTATGTGTGCTGGGAGGCAGTTGAACAGTCTCGGGCCCCTGACACTTATTGTATGGTCTCTTAACGTGTAGTGACACCCCCGCTTTTCATTGGGGGGATGGTGCATCGTCTGCCAAGTCTTTTGCTTTCGTAGTGGGTGATTTTTTGTGTGCAACTTCGGTACTAGTCCCTCTAGGATTTTCCAGGTGTATATAATCATGTATCTCTCCTCCTGCGTTCCAGGGAATACAGGTTTTGGAACCTCAAGCGCTCCCCAATAATTGAGGTGTTTTATCTCCGTTATGCGCGCCGTGAAAATTTTCTGTACATTTTCTAGGTCGGCAATTTCACCTGCCCTTTAAAGGTGCTGTTAGTGTGCAGCAATATTCCAGCCTAGATAGAACAAGTGACCTGAAGAGTGTCATCATGGGCTTGGCCTCCCTAGTTTTGAAGGTTCTCATTATCCATCCTGTCATTTTTCTAGCAGATGCGATTGATAAATGTTATGGTCCTTGAAGGTGAGATCCTCCGACATGATCACTCCCAGGTCTTTGACGTTGGTGTTTCGCTCTATTTTGTGGCCAGAATTTGTTTTGTACTCTGATGAAGATTTAATTTCCTCATGTTTACCATATCTGAGTAATTGAAATTTCTCATCGTTGAACTTCATATTGTTTTCTGCAGCCCACTGAAAGATTTGGTTGATGTCTGCCTGGAGCTTTGCAGTGTCTGCAATGGAAGACACTGTCATGCAGATTCGGGTGTCATCTGCAAAGGAAGACACGGTGCTGTGGCTGACATCCTTGTCTATGTCGGATATAAGGATGAGGAACAAGATGGGAGCGAGTACTGTGCCTTGTGGAACAGAGCTTTTCCCGTAGCTGCCTCGGACTTTACTCTGTTGACGACTACTCTCTGTGTTCTGTTAGTGAGGAAATTATAGATCCATCGACCGACTTTTCCTGTTATTCCTTTAGCACGCATTTTGTGCGCTTTTACGCCATGGTCACACTTGTCGAAGGCTTTTGCAAAGTCTGTATATATTACATCTGCATTCTTTTTGTCTTCTAGTGCATTTAGGACCTTGTCGTAGTGGTCCAATAGTTGAGACAGACAGGAGCGACCTGTTCTAAACCCATGTTGCCCTGGGTTGTGTAACTGATGGGTTTCTAGATGCGTGGTGATCTTGCTTCTTAGGACCCTTTCAAAGATTTTTATGATATGGGATGTTAGTGCTATTGGTCTGTAGTTCTTTGCTGTTGCTTTACTGCCCCCTTTGTAGAGTGGGGCTATGTCTGTTGTTTTTAGTAACTGTGGGACGACCCCCGTGTCCATGCTCCCTCTCCATAGGATGGAAAAGGCTCGTGATAGGGGCTTCTTGCAGTTCTTGATGAACACAGAGTTCATGAGTCTGGCCCTGGGGCAGAGTGCATGGGCATGTCATTTATCGCCTGTTCGAAGTCATTTGGCGTCAGGATAACATCGGATAGGCTTGTGTTAATCAAATTTTGTGGCTCTCTCATAAAAAATTCATTTTGATCTTCGACTCTCAGTCTGGTTAGCGGCTTGCTAAAAACTGAGTCATATTGGGACTTAAGTAGCTCACTCATTTCCTTGTTGTCATCTGTGTAGGACCCATCTTGTTTAAGTAGGGGCCCAATATGGACGTTGTTCTCGATTTTGATTTGGCATAGGAGAAGAAATACTTTGGGTTTCTTTCGATATTCATTTATGGCTTTTAGTTCTTCCCGCGATTCCTGACTCCTAAAGGATTCTTTTAGCTTAAGTTTCGATGCTTGCTATTTCTCTGACCAGTGTCTCCCTACGCATTTCAGATATATGACCTCTTTTAGCCGCTCTGTTATTCTTTTCCGTCGCTGTAAAGGGAGCGCCTGTCTCTTTCTGTTTTACATCTACTCCTCCTTTTTCTTAGAGGAATAAGCCTTGTGCATACATCGAGTGCTACCGAGTTAATCTGTTCTAGGCATAAGTTGGGGTCTGTGTTGCTTAGTATATCTTCCCAGCTTTATCGGTTAGGACTTGGTTTACTTGGTCCCACTTTATGTTTTTGTTATTGAAGTTGAATTTGGTGAATGCTCCCTCGTGACTAATCTCCTTATGTCGGTCTGGGGCTCCGCGCATACATGACTGAACCTCAATTATGTTGTGATCTGAGTATATTGTTTTTGATATGGTGATATTTCTTATCAGATCATCATTGTTAGTGAAGATGAGGTCTAGTGTATTCTCCAGTCTAGTAGGCTCTATTATTTGCTGGTTTAAATTGAATTTTGTGCAGAGATTTAAAAGCTCGCGTGAGTGTGAGTTTTCATCAGAGCTGCCTCCTGGTGTTATTACTGCAACAATATTATTTGCTATATTCCTCCATTTTAGGTGCCTTAAGTTGAAATCCCCCAGGAGCAAGATGTTGGGTGCAGGAGCTGGAAGGTTTTCCAGACAGTGGTCAATTTTTAACAGCTGTTCCTGGAATTGCTGGGATGTTGCATCCGGAGGCTTGTAGACTATCACAATGACTAGTTTTGGTTCTCGACCTTTACTGCTAAAACTTCCACTACATCATTTGAGGCATTTAGCAGTTCTGTGCAAACAAATGACTCGCAATGTACAGGCCAACCCCCCCCCCTTTTGCCTGTTCACTCTGTCACATCTGTATAGGTTGTAACCTGGGATCCATATTTCGTTGTCCAATGATCCTTTATAGAGTTGAAGAAACAACCTGAGGACTCCTATTATTTATGCTTCTTGATATGAAGCCAAGGATTCTATTAGCTTTATTGCGAACACTTATGCACTGTTGTCTTGGTTTCAGATTAAATGCTAACCAAACTCCTAAATCTTTTTCGCAATCCGTAATTTTTTTTTAAAAAAACTAAAAATTATTTTATTTTTATATGTGGCAGGTTATTGCCTGCCCCAACATTTTAAAACTTTGCATTTGTTTTATATTAAACTGCATCTGCCATTCTCCGACCACTGCACCCGGGTCTATTAAAATTTTCCTGGGGTCCTAAAATGCCCTCGTCGAAAAAAAATTTCGAGGGGGCCTTTTTTGGTGTCATGGGCAAATTTCCCGATGGCCCGCTTTTTAATGCCCTCAAAAAAGTTTTTATGTAGATTTTTGAACCGGGGGGGCCGAACACTACCCCTGTGGAACACCGCTCGTGAGGGGTTTCCCCACCTGATTTCTCCCCTTTTTATGAAAAACTTCT